GGAACGAAGTTCCAGCCAGTGTAGCCCGCGGGATCATTGCAGCACTGAAGCCCGACCACCACTTCAAGGTGGCAGCTTTAGGTCGGGCAGAACCGTCAGAGCGGGAAGTAACAGTAATCCAACTAAGGTGGTTGCCACACAGGTTACGTGTAGCCCAACTTCATTTAAGGCTCACATTTACACACTACACAAGGGACCAGGAAACTGATTTGAACCTGTCTCCATTCACTTACCCAGTGTAACAGACTGAAGGTAGGTCAGTAACCTCCCTCATTCGCAGAGACGGGCAATCCTGTCCTATCGCGATGGCTACACGGGGTATATGGATTTTTCTGGATTTGGAGTTACATCCCAGTCTATAGGAACCTAGTCGCCTTATCTGGGGGCTACCAGTAGCATTTGTCAAGTTGATTTACCCCACCACTCCGGTTTCGGTAAAGTAGGAGTAGTTATATATACTGAATTGACCACTCAATTGTCTCAATCGTTATAAAAGTGAGTCAAACCGGGCCATCGTACTGCCGGTGAATGGCAGAGCGCGTTTGGATGCAGTTATTTGTTGTGAAATGGAGTTGCAAACAGTTGGGCCCGAAAGTGAAGAAATTATTTGCACAGATTTCGAGTGACTCAATGTTCCCAGGCGTATTTATGAGCTATTCTGGACGTCGTTTACATAGTTGATGCTAATAAATGGAGACGCTATAGCAGCTTATTAGTTTCTCTCCCAACTCTCGATTGGCTGTGAGGTGGCGCTTTTAACCGCAAACATTATTCCCAGGTCCCATCAGTAGTATATGCTGGCACCCAGTTGGGATGGATCAATCCACTGTTGGTGACAGAAGCTGAACTACCGTCAGAAAGCCACAACACCTAGCTAACCTGATATTTATTTACGTTGTCATCTATTTAGCATTACACCATCTTTATGCAATTAGTGGCCAAGGACACAAGTATTTGTGGTCTTTCAAATGTATTTTATACATTTCAGAGGCTTTGGCCACAATGGACAACTGCAATCCTGAATAACTGGTTATTTAGTCACGCAGTCTACTGACTGAGAATGCTTTTTCTCGAAATTCACAATCGCGCAGTTGAGGAACTTTTGTTGGTGAGGTTCGAAAACGCCCTTCAAGGGTAGGTCGTTTGGCTTTGATTACTCATTAATCTAATCGCCAGCTTGAAGCATGAAAAATTTGACCACACGGTTTCCGATTTTGACGGCGCCGTTTATCGACTGCACACTGTGCCCAATGATCGGTCGAAAATCATGGTCAGCATTTATTTGCATTTTTCTCGAGAGTTACAGGCTTTTGGAGCCACTGAGGTAGGTTCTTTTTGCAAAGTATCTACGTTTGTCTTTATTATCTGCAATGCTTGATATTCTTGGCCAACGCTTCCTCCCTATTTTCACTAACTATTTGAACCAGGAAGGATCGATCGGATCCTTTCGCTTTGCGATACAAACCTTATGTTTTTGGTTTTCACCATCTCCTGTGGTCCTTTACAATACTACTGGGTTTAGGTGCTTTGCAGTCCCCATTTCGTTAAGTGTCGCACACTTTGGCTTTCAGAGGTTTATGTGCACTAAACACAGCTTGATGCAAACGGAAGTGTGACCAGTATGTAACCTTGCAGAGGGATATCGCGAAGCGAGCTAAGCATCTGGTGACTGTTGTTAGCCTGGTTTTTCAGGATATGACCCGTGTAACCCTCTAATTGGGTGTTGTAGATGAGTGCTAGCGTAATTTTGATAGGCATACCCTGCCAACCCAACTGCACACTGATGATGTCTCCTCGTATGGTGACGAGGCGTTTGCAAGCCAATTGCCAAGCTCGGCGAACAGATCAACAGCCACCTGGTCAACAACCAATAAACTCACCCAAGCTACCAATATTTCAACACATTACAAGGCATCGTGTCCAGTATTTCATCGGCAGCATCTGTTTCTCCGACTGAATTACATTGGGTTCTTGCTAACGGTTGTGGTGCTCGGTATTTTGGCATCAGTTAAGCGAGGATGGGACATTCAAACTTGTTATCTGACCGCCTCCCTCACTGGAATACGCAATGGTTTTTGAGGTGTGTGAATGTTTAATGTGTAGAAAGAATGACAGCTGTCGTTGGTGGAAACATGCGAGCTACTACCATACCATGACACTGAACTGGCGCAAACAACACTTTATCAAAACGAAGACAAAGTTGTATGTCTTAGTTTGGAATCATCTGGCCCATGGTTCCTGTGGCAGCCACCATTCTCCTTCAAGTACACGTGATGTTGCGAGAGTTGTCATACTCTACACGGAGTAATTATGATAGATGAGAGGTTCCGAGAAAAGCGAGGGAGGTGACATGGTCGTGTGTTAGCGATTTGTCCCCATATAGTAGTGCCCACCACGTGCTTGTGGAAATGAGTCCATCGGTCCCATGTACTACCAGCTTTGTCATGAAAGAAAGTGATCGAACCATTTTCTTCCAGCGAATGGGATCACAGAAGTCACACTATTATTGATATACCTGGCCCTCTATCTGAACGATTCTCATTTTACGAAACACAGGTGGTTTTTTCATCCACAAGCGCAGAACCAGGTCTTATTCTGAGATATTGCTGATATGGATATGGACAGTGATAAGAACGGAAGTTCCGCAGCGGAATCTATTTGCAAAACACCACACAACGATATTTCCAGATCCCACGTAGGGTTTAGTAATATGAAGGGAATTAGGTTGAACAGTGAAGTCGGCTGCTGTGGAGTTTTCAAGGCGAATATCCCGAGTCCACTTCGTACTCCCTGTTCATAAACCGGGCTTTCGTAGTTCATCTTTACAGCCAGTTTCACAAAAGGGTCAGTATTCTTTAATCCGTTGAAGATGAATAGTCGGGGAGTTCTGTGATTCCAGAGCTTCTGCAGAAGCAAGAGTTTGTCGTACACTGACCTCGTTGATAGCGGACAGTTAAAGGTCCTGAAAACAATGCTTGACTCGTTCATCGTTTTGTTGACAAGTACCGCAGCTGACAATTCTGGACACATGCGGAACACGTTCGAGGATGTAGTGTCTGGCCACTTTCTCTACATCAAAAGAGAAACTATTTACGAGTTCACTGTCCAGAAGAACAAAGTTGGTTATTTTCATAAATGAAACTACTCACGAGGTTACTGAAAACTCTCCGATAGTTCACGACCGGCTTCGCCCTTATTGGGGCTTGTCAGGTAGGCCAAGTCACCAAGATTCCCTCAACCTTGTGCTTTACTTGAACCTAAATTGGATAGATTCCGGCAACTGCGCTTACTTGCATATCAGTTTGGTTTTCACGGGGGACCCAGCTGAATATCCAATTTAAGTTCAAGTAAAACATAAAGTTGATGGAAACTCGGGAACTGCGTATGCGTGGTTAGTCCCAAGAAGGGCGAAAGCGGTCACTGACTGTCGGAGAGTTTTCTGCAACCCTGTGAGTGGTTTCCTTTATGAAGATGTGCTGCCATATCTCGAATATGAAACACAAGGTAGCCTTTGTGCATCACATTCAGTTGAAGAATAGCAGAAACGAGGGATATAAGTGAGTCTCTTGTGAAAACCAAACAGATATACGAATGGGTATATCCGTCGAAAGTTAGGTATGTTTTCCCTCCGAAATAAACCTGACAGCAGAGATGTCGTGATCTACCCAGGCCTGTCTGAGTTTAGGCCCCCATCCTATAGGGGGACAGCCCTTCGATTCATATAGGACGCATTGCGGAAAATTATCGTTCAGTGACGTGAAGGCGGAGGAATATATATATATATATATATATATATATATATAATGGGCGGGGA